TACTTCTTTTGTTTAAAAAAATCTGAAGCAAAAAAAAGGCAAGATGTCATTACTTGCTCATTCTGGAGAATGAGAACATTAATGTGTTATATTATTTCTTACTTTTCGGTTGTCTTTTTTTCTGAGTTATAGACAATACACATATTCAGTTTTAATGGATGGTACCAGTTTTCCAGAGTAGTGGTACCAGACGACACTCTCACCAGCATCAGAGTTCCTCCGTGGCCTCGCCAAATCTGATATTGTTAGCTGTCTTGCTCTACTTTTCAAATTTTAAAATAAAAAAATTTTCCCTACTGTGCATGGGTCCTAGAGGTACCATGACAGACTTGCCTAAAAAATAAAATATCTGCCTTGCTAATGACAAAGAAAGTTGTATAGGTCAGTACAATCTCTTTTTCTAAGGGAAATGTGGTAGCAGGCCTCACTTCCAAAATAGTCTGGTGACACAACCCTATCTGTAAGCTCAGCCCAAAACACTAGCCCGAAAGTGTGCAGACTGAGAAACAGTGGGACTTCATCTCGGCCTTTCAGAGCCCTGCGGAAGGCTCTCCTCTGGGGTCCTGGCAGCCAGCTGCATGTGTCAGTGCTCCCCGCTACAGAGAAACCTAACTCTGCATGTTAAAGTCTGTATATGTTAGTTCATGAAATACTCACATATGGATTTCTCAAAATAAGTTCCCCAGGACCATTTAAAATGTGATTCAATATACTGGAGGGTGATCGATACAGTATAATCAATATGAATATACTTTGATGCTGCAAGTCTAGATATACAGTCACTATGCTTACTTACCATGTTATAGTGATGGTGAAACAAAGGGAAAGAAAAAGGAATTGTGGTGCTGTCTTTTGCCATTAAAGAAATGGCACTGTCCAGGTTTCAAAACCCTGGGAGCAGAGTTTAAATCAGAGCAGCTAAGTGTGGTGGAAAAATGGGCTCCTTCAACCTCTCTGTACCTCAGTTTCCCACGTGTGTCAGGGTCGTAAATGGATTCTATCTCATCGAGACAGATACATGTAAGAGCTCGGAAAAGAGACTCACATAAGGTAACCACTCAAAGAATGTCAGCTCCTGTGGAGACAAATGACGACACTCCTCGTCAGGCATGAATCTGAAGAAAGGTCGTAATGTGCGTACTGATATTAGAAAAGTAACAGGAAAATTAGCTTTTGGGGTCAAAGAAAAGAGCAAGATTTCTTAGTATCAGATGTAAATCTATACTGAGAACGTAAAGATGTTTCTGTCTTTGAAGGACTTATCTTTGAAAAATAAAGGAAAAGTTCTAAATTCTAGCCTAACCAGATAGAAAACGAGATTGGACACGTTAGAAAAATAAGCCCCAAAACAAAAGCCATCAAAGGCAGAAGAGAGAAAAGAAAGTCCTTACTAATGCACTCTACACAATTTACTATAAATAAATGTCAAGGTGCAGAAGAAATTCTGGAATGTGACAAACACCTGGTTTCTGTGTGGCACAGCATACACAGCATCACCAAGATCTCCCTCTTCTTTGCGAGCAATGACATTCCCCGACTCCTTGTAGCTAGATGACAAGTTCAAGTCAGTGTTCTCTTCCTCCTCGTAGCACAGCATTTCAAAGGATGGCAGAGAAGGTCTTCTTCCCATCTCACTCTGCCAATTTGGTCTATAGCAGAACATTAAAGAGAAAAATAAATAAATAAACCAACCACTTAACACTTCACATCGGTATAGATATTTGTATTAAATGCTCTGCCTCCGAGCCCCCACCATAAAAGTATTATAACTACATTACAAAACATAAACTAAATGATTGAGTCATCCACTATTCCATCTTTCTGCACACTCTTAAAATTTCTTCCTAGTTTTACCTAGGTTCTTATAGTTCTTATCATGCATAGAAACAATCTGCCTCGTTGTTAACAAGTTTTTCAAGTCAAATGTTATAAGACTCAAGTAGTTATACCAGTTTAGTCCACCATTCCCCTGACTATGGTTTTCAGCTCCCAATTTTCACTGTTATAAATAACCCTGTAAGGGACATCTATGTGTATATGATCTCTTCTGTATTTAGAATTAGTCCTATAAAACAAACAACCATATGGTAAAACTGCTGAGTCAAATGGTATGAACATTTTGTGGGTCTACATGCAAACCACACAAAATCATTTCACAGATCATTTCTCCAATCTGTAACAATTTGCCAAAAGAATTTAAATCTCACTGTTTAAATGTGCATTTCCTACCAAGACTGAATATTTTCCATGTATTTGTGTGCAAATCATAGTTCCTCTAGTGTAAATTGTCAGTTCACATCCTTTGTCAATTTATCTACTTTGCTTCTAGTATGTCCATTCCAATGTGAAATTAATTTTTTAATTTACTAAAATTAAAACCTTGACTTCATATTTACTATATTTTTCCTATTCTATTAGTTTTATATTTTAACATACATGATTTAAAAAAATTTTTTATCTTCTAAATTCTTAGCTTAGCAGTCATCCCCCTCTGAGTTTTGATAAGAGTAGATACAGGATTTCATGGCCTTATTTATGTATGTATACAGATCAATCCTTTCATTCAACAGGAATTTGTTTTCTATATGAGTTAGGTGAGGCTCAAAGCTGACATCTTTCTCCACTGTTGCTAATAAATGTACTGTTGAGTGCTTTCCTCTTTGATCTGTGGGGCTGCCTTTATTAGAGATTCGATATGCTTACAAACACTAGTTCACCTGAGGGCATTCATGCACACCTCTCTATTACTGACCCAGTCTTCCTCTGTTTTAACTACTTCAACTATACATTTTAAAATATATTGGGGCTAATGCAGCCCATCCCCTGGGTCAACAGTCTTCCTTTTCAAATTTCCTCTGATGGTCATATCTGCTTATTCTTTCCAATAAATGTAAGAATCATATCCTCAGCTTCAGTTCTTATTCAGCCAAAGTATAATTCCTGCCAGGAAAAGAAACAAGCTATATTCAAACATCTCAAAATGGAGTCAAGATTAAAATACAGAAACCAAAAATATAAACATGTCCTAGAAGAAAATACACGAGCACTTCTATA